TTTTGCTCTCCCGTGCACATGCACATTTCTTTTCTTCTATATTTCATCTCTAAATTACATTGTCATTGCAGAGAGATGAACGAATTGAACGAAGTGTGGCAAGGATGAAGACCATTATCGATCATGCTCGTAATATCCGTGAGCGGCATAACAAACCTCTCAAGTCACCACTTAGGAAGATGATCATTGTCCATCCTGACGGAGACTTCCTTAATGATATAGCTGGAAAACTAAGTGAGGTTTGTCCCAACTATGTGCAGATTTATCTTTCAGCATCAGAATTCTCAACCTATGGGTTTATGTCGCATAATTACTTAAGTTGAATATCTGATTGTTTTCCAGGTTTGATTTGGCTCTTGTAGTTTGTTTGTATGATGGGGTGCCTCTACCAGATTCTTGGGTGCTTTAATTCGCAAATACATAGAATGAAAGAAGTGTCTATTTGAGAATGGGATTGGATGTTCCAAGAGTTACTCTCCAAGCTCATAATTTGTACTTTGTAGCAACTAATTCTAGGATATGCTAATTTTATGCTAATTAGTTCCCCCCCCCCCCCCCCCCCCCCCCCCCCCCCCCCCCCCCCCCCTCCCATTCACTCTAGCATCTTGAATTTCCAGCTTATTTCTAATAATCTGACAGTAAATTCTTTTTGTTCCATTATAGTTTGTGCGTGAGGAACTCAATGTGAAAGATCTCGTCCCATGTAATGACACTTTGGAGTATACTTCTCTACGAGCGGAGCCCGAGTTCAGGTATCAATTATTATTATTATTTCAATGATTCTTTATTACGTATAACTGTTTCGCATTCATTGATACTGTGATAAACATTTTTGTTCCCTTTTAGTGTGTTAGGTAAACGACTTGGCAAAGATATGGGAGTTATTGCCAAAGAAGTGAAAGCAATGTCTCAAAATGAGATTTTGGAGTTTGAGAAAGTTGGTGAGCTTACCATAAAGATGCACTGCCTAAAGCTAACTGACATCAAGGTGCATCCTTGATTAATCTTTTCAGCCATGGATTGATATTGCTGATGCAATGTATTTTCTTAATTCCTATAAGCTCTTTCAGTGGTTGCATTTGGATTAATGTTTAATTCACTTGCTTCCATCCTTTCACATAATTATTAAAGTCATCTAAACTTGTAGGTTCGTCGGGAATTCAAACGTCCTGATGCCTTGACCGAGGAGGAAATCGATGCTGCTGGAGATGGTAGGATGTTTTATTTTGGACGTTCTCTGACACATGTTTTGAAATTTAGTGGGGGATGCCATAAATGTTACTCCCTAATGTGTTTTCAGGTGATGTACTAGTTGTTTTGGATTTACGGCCCGACGAGTCCTTGTTTGAGTCTGGCTTTGCTCGCGAGGTACATGTCTTTTATGTTTTTCTTAAGTATATACATGATCTCCAGCGTCTGTAACTTTATAACCTTGATTAGTAGTTACTTTTACACAATTCATATTCTATATATCTGCCAAAACCTTTATCATCATATATTGTCTGAAATGTTTGGATATTTCACATGTTTGAAGCAATATCATTATTTTCTGCTGAACGTTAGTTGACAAAGCAGATTTCAGGAATTTATTTTTCACTTGGTGTTGAGTACAGGTGGTCAACAGAATCCAAAAATTGAGAAAAAAGCTTGCGCTTGATCCTACTGATGCTGTAGATGTTTACATTGAATCCTTGAATGAGAACTCAAACCTGGAACGAGTTCTTAATTCACAGGTACAATTTATCTCTGTTAGTCCCTGTTATGCAGAATATAAAAAAGTTATTCAGCATTGTAAGCCTGCTAAGATCATCACTCTTTTGTTATTGCGTCTCTTCTTGTCCTGGATTCTATTTTGTTATCTTGTTAGCTCTAGCCTTTCTCTTCAAATATAGGAGTCGGTGTCACGTAACATTTTCCCCCTAGTGGGAGACATTCTCTTCTGAAACCAGCTTGCGTTTTATCCCTGTTTCCATAGCTGTTTACTTTGAAAAATGGTGGATTATGTCTTTCTTCGGGTTCATAATTAATTATTTGGACTTACATGTTTCAGGAACTCTATATCAGGGATGCAATCGGTTCTCAGTTGCTTCCATCTACTGCAATGCCATCACATGCTGTAAGTTGCATTTCTTATGACCGAGATGTGTTGTGTGTTTGTGGAATTTTCAATCATTGATTCTGATTATTAATATTAGACAGCGTTTATGTTGAGAGCTCCCTCACTTAAACTCTGTCTGTCTGCATTAGGCATTTATTTACCGGCATTGCACTAATTCTGTTGCTATGCTATGCTGGTTGGCTGTCGATGTTTTATATTTAAGCTGAGGTTGTACTTGATATTGAGTTGCTTATAGAAACTGCAGCCTCTAGCTATTCCCACAATTGGCTCATGATAGCTGCCTGACCTCACCACATAACGAGTATGGTTCGAGATAGCAGGCAGGCCCTCACTAAAAAGTCTTGAGTTGGTAGTTTACCGCCTGTTGTTTGTGTTGTCCTTTCTTAGGATATTCCACTGTGTAACTAAAGAAAGAAGAAATGGTAGAGTAGGAGCTGATCTCCATGTTGCACAGACATTTTTCACCAATTCTGGTTTGAAATTCAGTTTTCTTAACTGCCGAGGGTTACTGCAGGTGGTGATTGGAAATGAGACTTTCCACGGCATCTCTGGTTTGTCGTTCTCAATCTATTTGGCAAGGCCAGCAGTGATGATCAATTCAGAATCTTGTGCTGCTTTATATGGAGGTTTGTCTCTCGTGTTTATGCTTACCGTGGCCCGGTTATATTGCTTGCGTCTGACAGTACTGAATCCCACTGCAGGAAATACTCGATCTTGCCAGATGTTACAAGTTTACTTATTCTCTAGGGACCATAGTAATCTCAAAACAGAATTCCAGCTAGGAAATGGGAAGGTTTGTTAGCTGCTTCGAAAAGTTTCTTGGCCATTCCTTGGCAACCATTCAATTCTCACCCCCCTGTTAATGTTTATTGCTGATTCACCTTGTTTCAGAGAAGGGTTGATTCCATTGAGAATCTGCCTCCTGTGGAGTTGGAGTTGGGGAGGCACGTTTACTTGAGCGTAGGAGACCACTTTGTGACTGTCAGAATGCAACTCGACTGAAAATGCCTCTCCGAGATTGATTTCATTCTTGCTGTAACGAAGAACAGTTTCTTCCTCCTCGCAGTATTTCTTAGTTGATTGAAGTGATGATTCTATTCTCGATTTTGCCGTTGCATACACGAGAATAGGACTTGCAATCACTCTTTTTGTATTAACCAATCCAAGAACAAAATACAAATTTTTGGGTTCTTTGTAGATTTTGTTCCTATATGATGTAACTTAGGGGTCTTTTGGAAATTGTGATTCTTCAAATTGATGTATTAGGTCAATTAGTGTATTATCATTTGATGTATTGATTCAATGCATGTATTAGGAAAATACTTTGTTTGGAAGAGCAATGATGAAACAAAAAGTAGGGTAGACAATCCCTCATTAACAATCTCACCTTTTAGTAGAGATTTATAATCATTCATTTTGAGTGATTGTAGGTGGGCCCAACAAAAAGATAATGCATGCATTCTAACTCAAAGTGAACCAAAAAAATGACTTAATTTTATCATTACATGTATTTGCTAAATACCTCACTTCAAATCTCAACCTCCAAACGACCCCTTAATGTTTTGCAAGTTCTGCTAATGACCATATAGGAGTGATCAGGAAAAGCAAATAGTTTACCTGAACCCCAACGCATCATGTTAGGATTATACGACTTTGGCGTGAGATTGCTAGCCTGGAAGCTTGTCGCCTGTCGGTAACATAATGAGTGGATCGGATCAATAACTTACATAAGGTCTTCCATTCAATGCAATTCCAAAGAAAAAAGAACAGTGTTGCATGTAGGTCAAGGATTGAAAAACCGGACCTGGTCGATGGCTCGACCAAAACATCTCCTACCAGAACCGAAACCGGTAGGTGGTATGTAGCAGTATGAAATAGTTGAATCGTAGTAAAATCACTGTTCTAGGCTTTCAGTATAAAATATCCGATTGCTGACTTTTATGGTACAACCTCGATTATGGTTCTTTAATCCTTAGTTTTTGCACTCTCCCAAACTCTATTATGGATAGCGTAGCATAAATATACAACTTTTAGGATAAAATAATATATTTAATTTAAAATTAATATATATTACCCGTCAAATTACATTATGGCTATTAAAAAATCATCATATATACACACATATTTCTATATTATGTATAAAATAATTTAAAGTAATTAAATCATGATTCGACCAATAAATCTCAAACTATTTGCTTCATAGGCTTAACTAGGGGTGTTCAAATAGTTACCATGGTAATTTCAAACCAAGTAAACCTAAATCTTATTAACCTTGAAATACAATATTATAACAAAACCGATCAAACTAATACAATAACCAAATTGACCAAACTAAAGTTTACTCGATTTAGTTAATTGGTACCAATATAACATAACATAATCATTACGAAGAAAAAAAAATTTATAATGCACCAATTCATAATTATATAATAAATAAAATATAGCAATTAACACATAGTTAACCCTTAATACAAATACATGCAACTAATATTATTATCTTATAGTCATTAGAAGTAGCAACCTAACAAAAATGTATGCCAATGGTGTGAGATTACCGAATTGAGTATATATATGTGAATGGTTTTAGTCTCTTATATTATCAATTATCATCAGTTTAGTTTTTCATTGAACATAGTGTATGATCTTTATCTAAATTAGACGTTGATATGTTGGTTACATTCTATAGGAACAAGTATAGTGTAAATATAATAACAAATTTTATATTTCGATGGGTACTAAATGGAGAATCACTTGACAATTCAGTAGTTGTACAAACCCTCCGATGGTGGTTTCGGCTCACGTGATGTTGGAGTGTTGTTGGTGCCTTCGTTGAGTTGTGAAATAAATAAAAAAATAAGAACGAAAAGGGAAAAGATTAAGCGAAGCCGGAGCAGCAAAATCTCTTCTCTAGTTTCTTTTCACTGCCCAGTTTTCTTCTCTTCCTCTCTCGCGAACGAAAAACCATAGAAAACCAAACTTACACCAACAAACCCTCGTTTCCCCGGATACTTTCTTCACCAGATTATCCAGTTTACCGATTGAACGACTACCATCTAGTCGCCGCGACCTGATAGTCTTCGTCGGCCATCAGCTCCGACTCCCGGGTCCACGACTCCCGTTCCGTCAATGGAAGAGTACCGCCGTTGAATCGGGCCAGCCAGAGGCAGACGCAGCAAGACAGAGATTATAGACCTGCAGACAGACTGAGAGATCTAGAGGGCATTTGGAATTTTTGATTTTTTTGATGCTGTAATGGGTGCCGCTGGCTCCAAACTTGAGAAAGCTCTCGGCGATCAGTTCCCTGAAGGCGAGCGATACTTCGGCCTCGAAAATTTCGGCAACACCTGCTACTGCAACAGCGTCTTGCAGGTCCCCTCTTCTCCCCCATTTCCCCAATCCTCGTCTATTTGGCTGGTTGTCTATTGTGGAGTTTCGACTTATCCAAATTCTCCCCAAAACAGCGTCTTTCAGTTTCTGAACCCCCAATAGGCTTACTCCCGTGGGTTTTCGGGTTCTCTGCATAGGTTGCTAGCTGAAATCTCCAATAAACGTTATGCTCTTCGTGGAATGGATGATAGTGGAAATCGTGATCAGGTCAAGAGTGTTATTGTTTTGAGCTAGAATAGAATTGGTTAATCCAGTTTCTGGGTTTCGAATGAAGTCACGATTTACCCTCGGATAGATAGTATGTTCGTGCATTGTCAATTGGGTATCCAAAAATTGATGAATGATGCGTGAATAGTCCGCACTCTCGTGGCAATTTTATAGATATTTCGTTTCTCCATATTCTCAACTTTTGGCACCAATGTTCTTCATCGCCCAATTTCTCACTTCTCGTTTTCTTCCTTCATTTCTGCAGGCTCTATACTTCTGTGTACCATTCCGGGAACAATTGCTTGAGTACTATGCAAGTAATAAATCCACTGGGGATGCAGAAGAGAATCTCTTAACATGTTTGGCAGACTTATTTACACAGGTGATTGTTTGATCAAATATTTTGCTTCTATCATATTCTGTTTAACACACCATGTTGACATTTAAGGATATTGAATTGTTGATGTTTCTTCCAAAATAATGATAGACCCCTCTCGCTTCATTGTTCTATAGGGTTATCTATTAAGGCAGGATATCTGTAAGTGAATGGCCCCCCTCTCTGATTTCTCCCTATATTCTAAAGCAAATAGCAGTGTTTTGACTGTGTTATCTAGCATCATTGCTGGATTCTGGTGCATTTGGATTGGTTTACTTAGCTCCTACTTCATCGGTTGCAAGGCTCGAGAGGCCTATTATGCTCACTGCTTTTCTTCTCTTCTGTTTTTAGTGGAACATGACCTACTTCACTTGATGATTTTTTTCTTGTCCATCTCTTCTTGCACCTCCTAGTCATTAGCATTCTGGATTTAATGTTATATTTTCTCTTCTCTGTAGATAAGTTCACAAAAGAAGAAAACTGGTGTCATTGCGCCCAAGCGATTTGTCCAGCGATTGAAAAAACAAAATGAGCTTTTCCGTAGCTATATGCACCAGGTATACCTTCCATCTTTCAAGCAATTATCTCGAGGTTCGTCCTGAATATAATAATTGGTTTTCTTAGCCATTTGTAATTTTAAGGTCTAATAAAACTGTTGGTTTTGTAGGATGCTCATGAGTTTTTGAATTTTTTGCTCAATGAACTTGTTGACATTCTGGAGAAAGAGGCGAAAGCTGTTAAAAGCGATACAGAAACTTCATCTCCACCTGAAAATACTGCAAATGGCTCAAAGAGTGCGCTGCCTAATGGAGTTTTGAAGGAGCCTTTAGTTACTTGGGTGCACAAGAATTTCCAGGTGAGATCCGTTAGTCGTGCATAGTCGGATATGATAATTACCTTGTTGGAAAACAAACACCTCTGATATTGTTATGCATTGAAGTCACCTTAGTTATTTTTCTGTATCAGGGAATACTTACGAACGAAACTAGGTGCTTGCAGTGTGAAACAGTGACAGCTAGAGATGAGACCTTCTTTGATTTGAGCCTTGATATAGAACAGAACAGCTCAATAACCAGCTGTTTGAAAAATTTCAGTTCAACTGAGACTCTGAATGCAGAAGATAAATTCTTCTGTGACAAGTGCTGCAGGCAAGTTATTTTACTTGCATCATCTGGCATTTGTTCTTCCATGGATGTTTACTTCATTGAATGGTTAACAATGCTGGTGCTAGTTTCAGCTACTTGGTCTCGAACCGTCTCGGTCCCATTGACCCATTGATTCATTCTTCCTCTTTAGTTGGCCTGAGCCATGGGTTAAAACTGACACTAGTTCTTATGGGGCTCAGTTGCATGACAGTCTCCAATGCAATTTAAGTATTAGTCTAAATTTTCTATTGATGAGTAGAGGCATCTTATCATTTTATCAACTGCTTCGAATGGTAATTGAAAGCACCTTGTTCTGTACATTCTGTCATTGCAAACTGAAGTTGTCTGGCCATGTATACACATTTTTTTCTTATTCTTTCCCAAGTCCCCAAAATTTATTGATGGTAAATTTGGTTTCTGGTAGCGATCAATAGAGTGGATGATGTATAGTAATTGTTTGTATGCAAAAATGATGTGTGTGCAGCTTGCAAGAAGCTCAAAAGAGAATGAAGATAAAGAAGCCGCCTCATATTCTGGTGATCCACCTCAAGAGGTTTAAATACATTGAGCAATTGGGTCGTTACAAGAAGCTATCATACCGAGTAGTGTTCCCCCTCGAGCTGAAGCTGAGCAATACAATGGAAGATTCAGATATCGAGTACTCGCTCTTTGCTGTGGTTGTACACGTCGGGAGTGGGCCCAACCATGGTCACTACGTCAGCCTTGTGAAGAGCCACAATCACTGGTTGTTCTTTGACGACGAGAATGTTGAGATGATCGACGAGTCTGCCGTGCAGACATTTTTCGGTTCAGCACAAGAGTACTCAAGTAACACGGATCATGGGTATATTTTGTTCTACGAGAGCATCACCGCCACAAACAAGAGCTAAACTAGGAGAGAGAAAGAAAGGTGGTCTAGATGGTTTTTTGCAAGTAGGTAACTTTAATTATTTGGACTTGGGTTTCTCTCTTTTGTTATCTTTTTCTTTGTATCTCTTTCTAGCAGTTTCACTCTTTCTTGCCATTTCAAACTCTGCAATCTCCAGTACCGGAGATGCTAAGATGGTTACAAGTTATGATGATGATGATATGCAGTTGTGCAAAAAAAAAAAAAAAAAAAAGGAAAAATGTATACTTCGTGGGCCGTTCATGTTCAATGTACAGCGGATGATGGTGGGAAACACACTATCTTTCTAATTGTTTTCCAGAGAATAAGGATGGAAAAAAGGAGCAGCCAGTGTACATGTGTGAGAATACTTCACATAGAACCAGAAAAAAAAAGAACAGATTTGTATTTTCATGATTGAGATGAATGTTCAGTTACAACATTTGACAAATTTCGTCTGCAACATTGCAATTTTGCTGCTTTATACATGTTTTTCGATAGCTGTTGCCAATATTGTACACTTGATTCATGCCTAAACAGTTGGCATGAAAATATCTTCATCCAACAGTGATTCGAGATCAACAAGGTCATCAAAATCGGACCTTGCTGCTTCAGAACTTTGAGCAGACTGCATAGATGGAAATTTTTGTCAAGCATTGACTCAAATTGTGAAGCTGTAAATATGATATTTACTACAAGAATAAGTGAGGTTTTAGTTTTACCTTTGTCTCCTTGATCTCTGTGACTACGTTTCGAAGCCTGTGATATTGGTCTCTGGCTTCTGGATACTGAACCATAGACTTAACCCTCGCAAGAGCAATCTTTGATCTTTCTTCAGTTTGCTTCCTTCCTTCTTTAAAGAAATCGTAATCATCTTCCCTTGGTGATGAATGTTGCTGAACGCTTATGCTTTGACCTTCAGTAAGGGAATCGGGTTTGAATCCTCGGAGACCGCTTCTCTTCCTTCTCCATCGAAGTATCACCTTCTCCACGATCCCCACTGACCATATGATCTTCTTGTAGTTCTTCCTCACCTGGTGTCCTCTTACGAGGGCCTTCCGTGGAAAAACCAAAAACCCACAGAAAAGAGTTAAGCTCTATCCCATCAAAGTCGAATGAACAGTCAGAAACAACAATAACTCAATTACCAAATACCTGAATCTTAACAATTTGTTGCCGGATAACCAAGAACTCTCTCCGGCCTTTCCAACTCCGGAACTTGTTCTGAATCCTCACTGCAGCAGCCTGCACTGGCTCGTCAGGCTTCTTGTTGGTTCCCTTCACTTTGATGAAGGAAAGTGCTTCTTCGTCTGATATTCTTAGCTTCCCACCACCCCGCTCTTTTAGCTGCTTTCTTTGAAATGACTGCAGTCTGAACACTTGGTGAATACGAGCAGCAGCTTGAGTGGCATTGCTCAGAGCATCTAGCGACTCTTTCAAGGACTGTCCTTTATTGTCGTCTGGTGTCGCCCAAGGTCCTGGGACAGGTTGAACATTATTTGCAGCAGAGCCGATGGGAACACCATTATTACCACCCTGCTGCTTGTCCAGAGCGAGCGTAGTGAAGTGTGAAGTCAAAGCAGATTCAGCAAGGAAACCAGCGATCCCTTTGTGACCGTTTGCAGAGGCCAAGTCGGCTGGCGTTCTACTTGTAGGGTTTCCGGGAGTGGGATCTGTCAGTGCTCCGGGTGCTGCTCCAAGATGTAATAGAGAAGCAACTGTCCGCTCCCTGGAAAAAACCCGGTAATCACATCTTCCATTTGATCGGAAAGTAACAGAATCATCAGCTAATGGCATAAATTATCACAAGAGAAATGATTCAAGGATCACAAAAAATACCTCCTTCAAAAAGTTCTTGACTTCTCATTCAAATTTGCTATGATATGACATTGGAGCTCAAAATATATATGATTCACTAAAGCAAAATCACAAGCAACTTTCATGAAACAAAGACTTAAGTAGTTCTCATTCTTTTTTGCTTACCTGCCACAACAAGCAGCCCAATGAAGTGCAGTCCACCCATTGACATCCCGGAAATCGACTCTCACACCAGAAACGATCGTAGGCTCAAGGGCCCAATCAAACCCCAGAGCAGCTGCCAAATGCAGCACCCCTTGTCCACCTTCGTCCAATACACTTGCACCCTTCCCACCTTCGGTTACCTTCTGCAACAGCCAATCATGCAGTTTATCCTTCAACAGTTTCTGAAGAAGCTGGTCCTTCACTTTCTGAGCTGAAAACTGTGCCTCTGAAATCGACCTCACCATCAAATCCCATTCATCACCTTCTTCTTTCAGCAACAATATGAGTTTACTGCTCAACTGGGAAATTTCATTTTCACCTAAAGTGCTTGCATCGAGCTTCGGAGGGGAAACTGGACTCAGGCATAACAGCTTTTCAAATCTCATCTCGAGGTTTTCAGTAGTGTTGTTAGTGTCGGCAGGGCCCACATCATGGACAATGCTGACACGGAATTCAAATTCACGTACTTCGCTGCATGCTATCCTGTTCGAGCAAGTGATGTAGAATGGGATTCTCCCAGCCTTGAGCAAAGGGTTATAGCAACGGAGAACACCATCTGCAATAATCTCAGCTGGAACTTCGACTTCTCCAAACATACATGACCATTTGCAGTTTTCTAGGTCTTCTTGGCTCTTCAAGAATCTTCCTGTGATCAAGACCTGCAACACGTGTAAAGACATGATGAAGGTAATCTCCCGCATGTCTGATCTCCAATCCAGTATCTTCTGGCAGATAGAATGACGTAAGAAGATGAAGTTTGAGAAAACTAGCTTGACATATCAGATGTTTTTGGAGCAGACAAAACAATTAGATGTCAAAAGCAGTTAGGAGCCGAAAGAAAGAACGTTGATATTTATTAACAGGAATAGCCTCTTGATTTTTTGCTTGATTAGTGTGTATTAGAATATAGAAGGAACAATAGTTTTAGTAGGGTACCTTCACTTCTGTGCCAACGTATGCCCAGTTCGGTGAGAAATCAACGATGGTGAAAAGCTGGTCATTGGCGAGGGATGGAGTCATCAAATACGGGTCCAAGTGTGATTGAGACAGAACACTGGAATTTTCAATTCCATCTTCACTTTCTACACTTTGCCAATATGTAGCAGAAGTGGATTGAGCAGGTGACTCATTTACTACATCTCCAAGTTCTTTACTCATCCAACGGTTAAAGCTATCGAGCTTTTTCAGACTGTCTTCAACCACAGAAACATCCAACATGTGATGCTTCATGAAAGAACCATGGCCAGATTCTTTCTCAGGCATCACCCTATGGTGGGCATCTGGTACCTGAAATTGGAGATAGATCATCATCGAGTGTACATAAAAAAGACTAGGTCTCAGGAAAACTCAAATATTAAGATGCCAGTTAAAAAAGAAAATCTGCAATCACAGGAGAAGAGAGAAAAAATTTACAAAAGGCTATACATTGAAAATTCTAAATAATGCTATACCTTCTGCCATTGCTCTTGGATTTCCACATGAGTTGCAGACTCCTGCCTTTTACCAAAGCTACTCAAAAACAGGTTCCCCAGTAACATATCTCCTTGTCTGGGATTAATGGGCACGATATCAGCTTGTATTGGAGATGGGAAGTCATTTGGCAGGTGCTCAATTCCATAACTACTGTTTCCGAAGTCCCATGATGATAATGCAACTCGACTTCGTGGCTCAAATTCTGATCCAGTACCACTAACATCTTTGAGCTCACCGATTTGAGCAAACGAGGAGGAAACAGCGGGCAACTTCCCTGTATTATCACCTGTAACACTTAAAATGTGATTAAATTAGAGTACAAGGTTAACAAGTGGAAGCATCAAAGGGAGCATAAGAACTAATTTACCCGAACAAGACACATTTAGGCACGGATTAGACTGTTGGCCCTGAAAAATAGCATCGAATCCAGAACATGCCGGGTGATTGTACACTGCATTCAGAATTTGAATAGATTACAAAGTTGGAAAAGTTAAGCAGGTAGTCATAAGAGTGTTACTTGGATAAATCAGGTTGGTCATCACATCGATATGTGTTTGGTTACATCTTCCAGACATGACATAATCTGAAACAAACACACCCGTATGAGACTACCTGATTCTACATCCTCGTATTCTGAAGCTTTGCCACTGGCCATGCTTATTGTGTCTTCAGTTGTCTGTGTGGGCATTTGGTAGCTGTTAGAGTGATAGTTGGATGAAACAGAAGTGTCCATCTCAGAATTCTGTCCTACACCGTTGTCTGTGTTTGGGGAGTGTGAAATAGCCTCTGCAGTGTCTTTGACACGGTAGAAGCTCGCCCTACTAGTCCCCTGCTGAAATTTTTTAAATGGAATCTCAGATGAGACAGTTGAAGAATGGAAGTGAAGCATGCGACTGTTATAAGGTATATTCACCACTCTTAAAGGTCATAACTGACATTTAAGACCTTTAAGAAACACAAACAAGAAAAGACTAATTAAGACAGTGAATAGAAGAGATCAAACAACCTTTACTTCTCGATAGTGGACAAGAACTATGCGTGATTGTTCCCTGCAGCCAAAAGTATAAGATTGAACACAAATATATTAAACCAAAATGTAAAAACATGGATAAATGTAGAGACGAGCAGTATGAATCAACCATGCATGCATACCACTACTGCAAAGACTTATGAGTTATGGGGCAGTTAACATCCAAGAGAGGAAGTAAGTAGAAAGAATAGAAATTCAGTAGGCAAAGCTCTACAAGTAAACCACTCCACCAAGGTAAATCAAGCAGGAAAAATAATTAGAATGTGGTGCCCGCTATGAGAAAAGGTCCATCATCCTCTAGGCAGTACTTTTTTTTTTTTGCCAATGACGTACGTCAAGAACACTTAACTTAGTTAAGGATCCTTGAAGCAGCCATCACTCTTGGAATTCGTCATTTTATATCAGAAATACACATCAAGGAAGTGATCGTAAACATACTCTTCAAGCATCCAATATGTTCTTCTTTGAAAATTCTCGTTTCCTTCTCCATGTGCATAATAGCAGTGCAGCACATCAATACTGCCAGACTGAAGGAAAATAATATAGTTACAGTGATTAAGCTTTCATGATGTAGTATCTGACAAAAAATTATGTTTCTCCCGCGAGGTTCAACAAATTGAGGGGGAAAAAGAACACATACCTTGAGCCTCTCATGAGCTTCCTTTACAGTCTTCCCATCCCTTTTCTTCCTCCAGTTATGCCCATCTTTTCTGAAGTATCTCAGTACCTTGCGGTCAAACAGGAAAAGCGAACCACCTACAATAATGTGAAGCAGAGCCACTTCTCAAAATTAACCTGACGGTTTCATATAGAATGACCAAATTAGTTTAGCACATTTGGGAGCTCATACTATTTTCTTGCATCAAGCAGTTTCAGTTTGTTATTTGGTCTTACTTCACAATTACGAGAAGCGATTAAAACTAGTGCCCAAATCACTTCAACAGCAAGGAGTTGGGAATCATAAAGCAAAGGAAAACTAATAGTTCCCAAAATTCTATTTGACTTCATCTACCGAGGTCAAACCAGAACATAACTCGAGCCTCTTTACCCATTGGAAAGAAAGAACATCTAATGTTGATTTCAGAAGTGCTTAAGCTAAGATCATCTTGGACTTGTTGCTTACTTGAACTTATACTCAAATCAAAATTTCTTACTTGGTGGCCTGTTTTGGGGCTCTGGTGCAATACGGAACTTGTCATGGTTGCGCAGAATTTCACAGATTTCTGCAGGCCGCAGCCACCGGTTTTGCGCTTCCAGAAGTATTTGATGAATACTCTCATTCCACCCTGCAGATTGCCACAGTTAACAATCAAATATCAACAAAAAAAACTGAGCGATTCCTGCACAGTGGCAAGCAAAACAAATTCGAAATATTCAAGCTCAATCATTCCACATCAAAAAGGGAAACGCTTTGTGCTTCAATATAGAAACCCATTGGTGTTGACTTGGATGGGGAGAAGCTACAGCGAAGAACAGGCAAAAAACAAATACAAACTTCCCCACTTCAAGAAACTTGCTTCCAATTGAATATAACTTCAAGAATGAAAGCTTAGAGATGCATATATTAATTTACCTAGATGGTCACCAGCTAGGGAGGCCGCCATGAAGGGTTACTCTTTCCTTCCTCTGTATTCACGCTGAATACAGCTCCATCTCTGTCAGAATAAGTTAGCTGTAAGAGGGTAAAAGTTGAAATCTTTGTTTCTGATGAAGACCCAAATTGAAATGGCGGAAAAGCATTAGAAGATGGGGGGGAAAAGAGAGCGATGGAGATATGGAACGAAACTCAGCCGCCGAAATGGAAACTTTTTCGAACAGAGGACAGTTAGCTGACGTCGTCCAGTCATCATTTCGGCTATGTCATGTTCGATCCGGCAATAAATTAGTCGAGTCGAACCGTGTTTTGTAAAGCACTAAAACTTGAACCCAACTTATTTCTTAATAAGCTGAATTGAGTCAAGTTTGCCTAAACTTGAATTTGGACAATTTTTGAAACGAGTCGAGTTCGAGCTTCTAATTGAGCTCGTCTCATCAATCGGCTCACGAATTTAGATAATTTATAAGTCTAAATGGTTGAACCTTTAAGTTAAACTCTAAAATAATTTATAACTTAATACCATATATTTTTTTGTCTGTGGTTAATGAAAAAAGAATAATAATCAAATTTTCATCACTAATTGATCACATATTTATATGCTATGTTGGTGTAATATAATTTAGTTAATAATTTTTAACTAATTCATATAATGTTATTTAACAATAATAATGATTAGTAACTAAGCATTCTATAATACATAATTTTTAACTAATACATATCATGTTATTGAAATTTCCTTAGCTATTTTGAAATCCGGCTATTGAGACTTTTTGAATAACTCGTTTTTTTTGTCTCATTTAGTGTGTCGGACTGTCGGTTCATGCCGACTTAATAAAATAAGTAAAAATATTAAAAAAAAATCATTAACATCAAATTAATTCAAATATGTATAAAACATATTTGAAAACTATTACTCAAAACTTATATTCATATTTAAACAAAATACAACATTTCAAACAAAATTACAAATACTCATATTTAAATACAACATTTAACATCAACGCTCAAACTTGTATACTAAACTCCAACAAATTAAATTTATGAAATATAACAATTATTTTTTTATTAATTAAATTGACTAAAAAATCATCATTTTATTTATAGGTAAAAAATTAATTATTACGATCATAGCAGTAAAGAATATTTACGCTGATTTCATAATTGACAAACCAGATTCAACCGCCGGCCACAATTTCACCAGCACCACAAGGTCCACAACTATACTGAAGACGAGATCCCACTCCAAGTCTCCAACTCAGCGCCTCTTGTTTTCATCGCCTGCGCTGCCCTTGCATTACCATTGATTGCCTACTTTCTCTCTCCCTATCTTCCACCAACGGCTTTTTCTAGCGACTAACGCCGCTTCTCTCTCTCTCTCTCTCTCTCTCTCTTCCGTGTTCTTTATATTTGGAAAGTTGTTGTTGAGTCGTTTCTATAGGAGTCCAATCCAAGCAACTACTTCAATTCCCGTGGAAGGAAAAAAGGGGAAAACGTTGGACGATTACTTTGACTGGTATTTCCTCCACCGGGGTTTCCTTCGTTTTTGTTGTGGTGGACAAAATTGGTGTGGTTTTGGCCACCTAGATGCAGCAGATTGTTAGCCGATTCTGTTTGCTGCTGGTTATATGCTCTGTTCTCGAGTTCCACCAGAGGATTCTGCGTTTCTTTCTGGGGATCTTCGTGATGGAATGCGCCGCCTGCCTTAAGTTTTTGGCTCAGATCAGCGAGTTCCGCGGTGGGTTCATTGTGTTCGGATGTTTCTCGCAGGCTTTCAATTTCCTGTGGCTTTTTTTGCTTTTCGCATTTGGGTTAAAGCTGCTTAAGCTCACTTCCTTCGGGATTGGTCTGATTCAGCTGTTGCAATATGATATTAGAGGCAAATCAATTGATCCTAGAAATGGGTTTTCTTCTAGGAAGGGTTTCGATCTAGCATTCCACTCCAAGGTTGTCTCTTTCAACAAGGGTTGCTTGGCGATTGAGAATCTAAAATCCACCAAGGATAAGGACGATTCCGATTCAGTTGTGAACTCAAGGAACATCGATTATGCTGAGGAATGTTCTGCTGAAGAAGACGATGAATTCGACGTGTTGGCATTGAGGAGATTGGTTAGGAAGGAGAGGCGGAGAGCTGTGGCGGCCCAATTGGAACTGGAGAAGGAAAGAATGGCTGCGGCGTCTGCTACTGATGAAGCAATGGCTATGATTCTAAGGCTCCAGAATGAGAAAAGCTCCGCTGAGATGGACGCCAAGCAGTACCGCAGAATGGCAGAACAAAAGCAGGAGTACGATCAAGAAGTTATCCAGTCCTTCCAATGGAACATCATGCGACACGAATATGAAAGGAGCTTGCTGGAAGAGAAGCTCAAGTTGTGCAGGCAACAGTTGCAGCGCTGCTTGAGGAGGGATGAAATGGAGGAACTTGATGCTGCTCTCGACTCATTAGGTTCAACCTCTGATTGTGGTTTGGATGAGGATGAATTAATGATGGAGTTTGAATCTCCAGCAGCTACTGTTCAGGCAAAAGTTTTTCAAGAAGATGTGTTTGGACAGAATGATGAAGGGATCGAGCAGCATGCATAACAAACAGTTTCTGGACTTGGGAATGGAGCATTCTTGAATGCAGCTCCACCATGGTCCCCACTCAGACAAATATTTGCAGTAATATCTTCTACTAATCATTTTCTATCTATGTTTCCCCTTTTGTACATCCACGAGAATCATAGTACTGCCTTGTTATGTGAACTGATTTCCACTATTTAAGAACAGCTGAACCAGTTTGTTTGATTGAACCTCTATAGTGGGAAATCAATTCAGCATTCGCAGCCAGTAATAGTAGTCTTCTTCTTCTCTTCTTGTAAAGTTACACATCCCTTTTCCATTTCTGAAGTCCTCTTTGTCAGTCAGATTGAACTGAGTGAGAATTGCATTACATACAAGCACGGAGATACAAACAGATTCTCCGTGGAAGAAACTGCTTAATTTCATCTTTGTTCTCTCTTCTGGGCCTCTCTGTTCTTGAGTGCTGAGTTGCACGTTTTCTTTTCATGTGATGTGTTATTCAGTGTAGTGTGCAACAGCAGCAACACAATCCAATATCTATCAATCAATCAATGTGCATAATTTCCATTTGATCTGCTAACTAAGAGGAGGATCTGAATTCAATATCATCACTTGTTGATTGATCTTTTTGCTTGGATCTTAGCGAGGAGATCCGATTTTCTTTGTGGAAACTTGTGTATCATTGGAACTCTTGAATGATAGATTTCTTTTAAGGTTGTCAACTCAAAACTGTGCTGGAAAAGCTACAAAATGTTCCCGCAACCCTTTTCGTAGACTGCACTGGTGGTGAAGAACCCCTTTAGTTTAGATTACACACACAGATTTCCATGTGCAAGAACATTATTGACTAAGGCGGCACCTCACGTGGCGATCTGTTACCTTTTGCTTTCCTTGCTATCCATATAGATCAGGTGGCGATTTCCATATGCAAGACCATAATCGCACTTGCACAAATACTGTTGGTGCGATCATGGAGTGGTGTGGCCATAAGTTTTTCCTTCCTTGGCATATGATGATTTATCTCACGTGGTAGCATCGATGCGAATCGATGATGATGTTCCTTAATTCTTTTCTTTGTTGTGTTTGTCATAGTTTGTGCTAGATAATAGAGCATTGCATGCGCTAATAATAACGAATATGACTACCGTTGTAGGCGACGCGTTGTTAGTACGTTCTTACAAATGAGGCTATAAACACTTTAACCACATTGCTAATACAACTTGTGATTCCTTCTCTTAAGATAAATCGGGTTAGTAACTTCGACCCTTTTGTTTGAAGCCTTACAGATATCCAAGTATGTTGCATGAGACATTTATATTTGCAATATAATAATTCAGTATTTTTCTAAATTAGTATTTTATTCACCAAACTAACTCTATAGGCAAAAACACAAGTCCATAAACATGATGAAGCTAAAACAATTAGGGATATGTATATGGTAACTTGTGATAAGCTTCAAGTAATCTTACTTGGAGTTTGGTGGAGGTATTGTCAATCAGGCCGACCATTCCTAGTCAACCAATTTGACCAGAGATAAACCACTTATGCTTCTGAAAACATATTGATGACGAGCTTAGAGAGCTTTATTAGGTTGTCAGATAGATAATTTGGCTGAAGACGATGAGACTTCAGAAAGCGAAAAGGATGGACATAATAATGACGTTGCTGAAGAAGTACGAATGTAAACTCAAGACTTGAAACGAGTTTTCAAGTCTTGCCGAAAATTAATAATTTATAGAGGGGTTACTCGTCTGTGACTTACATTGTTTATCTATCAAGCCGTAGCAGTATATTGTATAACCTTAGTTTCATAAAGTCTGGACCATTAAAACCCTAAAGTATAGATCCTAAGTATCAAAATCCTAAACTACGAACATCCACACCCAAAATCCTATAATTGAACACACCTAAAACATGAAATCCTCCTAAATCTTATATCGCAAACTCCTAAACTCCCTACAAGCAATACCTTAAAGATAGGGTCAATAAATCCTAGACATGACCTTTAACTTGTACACCCAGAATCCTATATCCAACGGAAACTACATTCTAACTATTGAACTCGCTAAAACCTAAAATATGATCCATGAACCCCTAAAACTTGAACTATAACCCGACAACATTAAACCAAAACATTTACCATGCTATAAGATATGACTGAAATGGTACGATGGTGGCAACGCGTTAGTAGCGACGGAAATGCCTCCTCTGGATTTGCAGAGGAATTGACGACGACTTGGTTGGAGGAAGGTGGTGAGGGAAGATCAAGAGGATGAGAGATCTTAGGGAAGATTGGAGGGAGAGATAGGGATACTCGCAGGGTTTGGGGTTTATTCAATTAGATCCAATTGTTTGATCTTAAAGGGCTAAATTACACGTTTGGTCACTCAAATTATACAAATCTTTCACGTTTGCCACCCGAATTACTTTTCTTTCTTATTCGCCACTAACTTTACGAATCGTTTCACGGTTGGTCACCGGCCGTTACATTCCGTTAAGTTTGTCCTACGTGGCAGTCAACTATAAAGTTTGACTGTTAAAAAGATGACGTGGAAATTAAAAAAAAATTCTTTCCACCTTATCATTGCACTTATTTTGTCTATATAATTTATCATATTAATAATTTAATAAAATTTAATAGATTACAAAAATGGACACCCAGAGGCGAAGACCAGGAGCCATGAGTGGACGTCGGCGCCCCAGTTACCGGGGACGAGATTGAAGTCGGAAAACCGAGGCTTCCCCTTCAGCGTGACGCTCCTAATCCTCGGGAACCGGCGGGCGACGATCTCCGGCGAGACGGAGTAGCAGTTCCCTATGAATACGTGGCGGCGGGACCAGCTATCGGCGGCGTACCAGTTACAAGAATCAGGAGCGAGATCTCCACTGCCTCATCTGAACTCGGTAACTCTGCTTGAAGATATGCATTCTAGAGCATCCAAAAGGCCATATATAGAAATCTTAAACAAAAGAAGTTTTCAAATGACACAAAAACAAGGTACAGACTGGATTGAAGTCAACTTGTTTGATAACACTGTTAAAGTATTGGACGATAGTGGCTACAAGTAATTTTTCTCCAAAATTACCTATCATTGGCGCAAACGCGATAGTTTTGACTATACAAATATATTTTGCCAAATTTTAGGGACTAATTTATTTTTCATTTGAGTGTAAAAAGTATAAACAAATGGGGCTAGATTAAAAAATTTAACATTTGATCCTAGCCTCGATTTTGTTTTAACCCTCCACTTGGGGATTCCGACCTCTTTGACGCTTCTACTACGGCCTAACCCTTACTCTTCCGGTGGCCTTACCTTCTGTCCATCCGCCTGTTTAACTACCGCCATGGCCACCGAGAGTTCAGATATGCCGCGTCGACGGTCCTCTCCAGGGGCTAATCCTCCTTCTCCGATCAGCAAACTAGGGGACGACCTCCTCTTCGAAATTCTGATTCGCTTGCCCAACCCTAGATCCGCCTGCCGGAGCAAAGCCGTGTGCAAGCAGTGGAGATCTCTGGTTTCTAAACCCTGCTTCAGTCGCCGCTTTCTTTATCACCACCAGAGCAAGAACAAACCACCACCTCCTAAGCTTATTCTCTCGGCTGACAGCCTTCTGAGTTTTCTCCCCGTGCCCCGCCTTCTTCCAGATGAGGTTAGTTTGTGAACCCTTAATCTCTGATAGTCATGATCTAGGAGGTGGCTATGACTATCGGTTCCGGGTGGTGTTTATCTACCAAGATAGGAATTCTGTGAAACTAGATATGTTCTGTTCAGAGTCTGAGGAATGGACCAAGGAGGCTGGTGTAGTTAATGGTTATCGCATGTCCTCAATGCAAGATGTTGTTTCATGCAATGGGGTTCTATATGCGTCGTATCTTAGAGCAGAAGACGAAGATGCTATGTTGTATACACCTCTGATTGCTCGTTTCAACCCTTTCCGCCTTGATATACCTCTCACTCGTATTGATGTTTCCCCACTCTCCAACTTAGAGTTTTGGAATATCTCGATTTCGCAAGGTGCTCTGCACTTGACTGTGTTCGAACACATAAGACCTATGGTCCTGAGTGTTTGGAGACTGAATGAAGACGGTAAACATTGGAGAAAGGTGTACGAAGGTCCAGTGAAGTCATCACCAGGGGACGACTACAAATTTGGGAACCTCTATGTGCCTACTCTGCATCCGGAGAAGCCGGAAATTGCCTACTTTACTTATGCCGGTCAAGGCGATAAGAATTGTCATCTATCCTGCAATTTGGGGAGTGGGGGCGTGCTAGAGTTCGTCTCTAAGATAACTCAATATTGTACTGGCTGGAGGGTGTTTGAGCCGAAGGTCCATTGCTGGCCTACTCCAATTCCTAGGTACCAGAAGTTACGAGCTAGGTACGATGGAAGCTACAGCTGTTGGGTTCAGAGCAACGAACCGGTGACTTCCTCAATGACGGAGTTGAACAATCTGAAGCGCTAGAGGCTGGCCTCCATATCAACGAGACGAAGGACGATGGCATGGGGAAGGAATTGTTTTGTACCCAGTTAGAGGGAAAGGAGCTGATCAATTAGTAAGGTATTGCTAGGTGTTTGTCTTTATTGCAATCCGAGGCTGTTATTTAAAGCTGAATTGCTATTTATAGCCCTAGCTTTTTCTTATTTATAGCCCTAAGAGAATGTAATTACTATTTTACCCTTCCTTCCTTTTAAAATATTGAACTTGTTACAATTCCAACCAAACACTCCCTTCCCTACCAATTCACCTCGTCGGATTCCTCCCAGATTCCTCCCAAATATTCTCGCCGGCGACGACGAGCTCTCGCCGGCGACGACGAGCTCTCGTCGGAGACGTGACTCGCCCCATCTCTCCTGTCGCCGGTTTCCTCTCAAATACGACGACCACCTCTTGCCGGAGACGACGACCTCTCGCCGGAGACGAAATCAGAGCGCTTCGCGAAGGTAATTTTTAATTTTTGCACGAAGGAGGTGACGACCGGCCGTTTGACCCGCCGCCGGCAAGGGCGAAGTCCTGCCCAGACGTCGCCCTCGCCGGCGGCGTGTCAAACGGCCGGTCAACGGCAGTTTGACCGGCGGCGGCGAGGGCGACGTCCTGCCCAGGCGTCGCCGGCGACGGACGAACGTCCTGGCCGGACGTTTGTCCGTCGCCGGCGACGAGTCAATTTTTTTTTTTTTTAAATTTAGGTTATTTATTTATTATAATTATTATGATTTAATGTAGGTTAATTATATAATTTAAAAAATTACTCTAATTATCTCCTTTAATTATGTAGGTTAATTATATGCTTTAATTATTATGATTTAATGTAGGTTAATTACTCTAATTATCTGTTTAAATTATGTATGTTAATTATCTTCTTTAAATATGTTAATATTTAATATATACGAAAATTATGTCGGTTAATGTTTTCATTTAATTGAAATTAGATAGGAAAGGTAAATTTTAATTGATAAATATAAGAAAGTTTAATAATTTAAATATAGAATTTTATTTCATAGTAAGTATTAATTGTTGTACGAACCTTAAATTGCAATTGACAATTTAAGCAAGAAAATTAAGTTAGAATTCATCGTGAAATACATTACAATTTTGAACATTATATTGTGATGGGAATTTTATTGTAATTGAAATTATATACGAATGTTAAATTATAATAGACAATTTAAGCAAGAAAATTAAGTTAGAATTTATTGTGAAATTCATTATAATTTCGAATATTATATTGTGATGGGAATTTTATTGTAATTGAAATTATATACGAATGTTAAATTATAATAGACAAATATACGAACCTTGAACATTTGAATATAAAAATTTATTATATGAGAACTAACAATTATCATATGAACATTGCTAATAACTATTACATGATGATAATAATCTGACAATAATTTTAATTCAAATTTTAATAGGTAGAAAATGGTGGATACAAGAGGAAAGAAGAAGTTGAAGGAGGTAGAGCCGTCGAGGGTGACCAACCGTATAGTATTGAGGTCGCGTCGTGAGGAAGCCGAGAATGAGCGTCGACGTGCTAGACTTGTGGAGAATCCTTCTCCCCCGCCTCCCGTGCCTTTTGACTTAGATACAGCTTTTGAGGGAGTGGATGAGTATGATGGCAGTGATGACAATTATGATGACTTCCCGGATGTAAATGATGCTTTCTTCGAGAGCAACCATCCGAGTGCAGGTGGTTCTAGTGGACCTAGATTAGAGCCCGAGGCTCCTTTTGTGTCTTCTTCGTCCTCTCAGTTTGTTCATGTTAGACGTGGGGCTCGTGGTCGTTTTGAGTCATCACGACCCGATTCGGAGGAGGGCAGCACTAGTAAGAGGAAGAAGGCGAGAGAAGCTGATTCGTGGATTCTCGACAGGAGTGGGCCGGGGGGGCCTATCGATCATAGCCTGATTCCTAGTTTTGGAGGTCATGTGGCTTATCGATTATGGGATGATGGTTTAGGGGCTCGCCGAATGGATTCATTCAAGTTGTCGACTAGAGCATTGGCAGTCAATTATTTGAAAGATTACAAATTTCAGAGTGAGGGTGCTGCAGCATTGGTTGAGAGGACAGGGTTGCGCAAGTTGTTGGACTGCTCGATCCAGCACTTGGACGGACCTTTACTTGTGGCATTTGTGGAGAGGTGGCAGCCTGACACCAACACCTTTCACATGCCTTTTGGAGAGATGACCATCACGCTCCACGACGTTGCAGTGTTGCTTGGGATTCCAGTCGGTGAAGATATGGTTGTAGGGAATGAGAGTGTGAAAGCACAGTTGTGTGAGATGCTGAGGGTCGAACAATTGAATGAACGATCCAAGCCTTCGCTTAAGAGTGGGGGTTTAGTGTGTGTTGAAGCTATGCAGCAGGTTGGGAGGTTTCGGGAAAGAGATTCTGAGGTACGGATGTTCTTGACCTGTTTGTTGGGGACCACCTTGTTTGTGGACAGGAGTGGGGATCGGGCGCAGGTTTGGCCTCTCCAGTTCTTGGGGGACACTAGACGGGTGAGGAAATATTCTTGGGGGTCTGCTACACTCGCCTATTTGTATAGGCAACTCGGCATGGCATCTCGGGCGGATTGCAAAGGCATGGGTGGCTATTTGACCCTCCTTCAGAGCTGGATCTACGAGTACTTCCCGTGTTTACGAGATCAGAAGTTGGGGACACGTGGATTGGTGTGCGGGGAACCTTTTGCTAAGAAGTGGGAGGGGGTGAGAATTGGAGGTGGGGCACAGTTGATGAATGAGAGGTTGGATCACTATCGTCGAGTACTGGATAATATGACAGATGAGTTCATTTTTTGGTGCCCATTCGGCCCCAGACCTGGTGAGATGGTCTCTCGTTCTTTGTACTCTGGTGTCATTCGGTGCATGAGTGTTGAGGAGATGTACGATCCCTCGCGTTGCCTCCGTCAGTTTGGGTACGTACAGACCATCCCCTCAGATCCGCTTCCTCCAGTTGATGTTTGCCGATCTGCGAATGTCAAGATGTACTCCTTGTCCTACGGTCCCGGCTTGAGTGAGCTTTGGAAGGCCCCTCAATGCCACTCGGTGCAGTTGGATTCGATATCGAGACCTGTTCAAAAACCGGAAGATACCGAGGATGGGTATCTACAGTGGTATATGGGACGTACCCACCCGAGGATCGTCTGCCCCAGTGCTGCTGACCAGGAGATACACCACCATCTTAGTCATGATCAGGTAAGTTTAATTATGTTATTGATATTGTTATTCTGTACAAGTTTAAATATTGCATTAGTTATCGAATAACATACTAACATTTACATTTTTATACAGTTAGCTGTGAAGCTCGTCCGAGAGTTTCGCACTGTGATTGAGCACCCTTATGATGACCACCTTGATCTTCTTCTTGGATTACAAGGGTTGCTTAAAGAGTACGACGAGGCGACTCCATACCAGCCTCCACCTCAGTACTAGTGTTGTTCATGTAGTTTGAGTACTATGTAGTTTATTTCTATTTGGAGAACTATGTCGTTAATTTGGTGTTTGAGAACTATGTCGTTAATTTGGTGTTTGAGAACTATGTCGTTTATTTCTAGTTTGAGAACTAAATCGTTTATTTGTTGTTGGAGGACTATGTCGTTTATTTGTAGTTTGAGAACTATGTTGCTTATTTGTTGTTTGAGTACTAGTGTCGTTCATTTGATACTTTATTTGTATGTTTAGAACTATGGTAGTTTTAATTTAAAACTATGTTTACCAAAGACTACAAATATAAAGATAACATGAGTTACAAAATACTCCTTATTTACAACTATTGTCGTTATATACCAATACTACTACAAATATCTCCTACTAGTCATGATGACCCCCAAGTGCGAAGTAAAGATCTCGCTCGTCCTTGAACAACTCCTCCCACCCTTGAGTACTCATTTTGTCACGGAAATGGGTCCACAGGAAGGTGAATGGAGGCATTGGTATTGAATCCTCCTCAAAGTCAAGGCGCACCCAATGGTTGCCGGTGTTACACAACACCAACACATTGCTAGGGCGAGCTACCCCTGGCTTGGCTATCATAGGTAAAAAGGTTTGTCCAAATGGAACACGTCTCCTCACCCCATCTTTGGTTTCGTCTATTTGACTGTAGAGGATTATGGCCCAGTTAAATAATGTTGCAACTACGGCGAGATCCGACTCAGTCATCCAATGATCCATTGTAGTACCCTCTGGCTTGTTCCACTGTAATCGTGTAAGAGCAAGACCCACATCTTCATATGCGTACTCACATTGTTGGATCGACATGACTTCATCTATAATAGCCTTTCTCACCCACAAGTGGTGATCCTCATCTCCATGAAGTGCATGTGAAAGAGCTCGAAATCTGCAATGTCCATCAGGAGCAGGGTCCCACCAACCAAGACATCGATCTCTGACACTTTCTGGGACGAAGCGAAAGTAAGGAAAAACATTCACTCCATCAATCTTGGTCATGGGATCCCTTTTCGGGCCACCTGTGGATGTAGTTTTTTTTAGTTATCTTATTGGCATATTAAACATACTTATTGAATATCAATGAATTTAACAAAACAACTCAAATTATTCAATACAAACCTGTAACATCTGAGGTTGTTGCTTTTCTCTTTTTATGGATGGTAGCATCCTTCGGGGCACCTGTTAGTGAAAATTTTGTTGTAATTAACTTATTGGCATATTAAACATATTTATTGAATATCAATGAATTTAACAAAACAACTCAAATTATTCAATACAAACATGTATCCTCTGAGGTTGTTGCTTTTCTCTTTTTGTGGATGGTAGCATCCTTCGGGGCACCTGTTAGTGAAAATTTTATTGTAATTAGCTTATTGGCATATTAAACATACTTATTGAATATCAATGAATTTAACAAAACAACTCAAATTATTCAATACAAACCTGTAACATCTGAGGTTGATGTCTTCCTCCTTGTGCTCCTTCTACCTTGACGTGCGGCAGCATGCTCATGCCAAGAAGGATCACGAGCGTTTTCCCTTTTAGGTGGCCGACCTTTTGCCTTCGTAGACACTCGTGGCTCCCTAAGGCCTTCCTCTTCGGGGTAAAGCTGACTCATTAATGCGACCTTGGCTGCTCGAACTGCAGATGGACCACGTCTACACACCTCAGCCACTAGATCATGAAAAATCTGAAGATCATTGGCGTCATTGTCTTCGAACCGTCTTGCATCATGAGGGTTAGCATAGTCCAAAGTAGACCAGAATGGTGCCAAGTGTGTTATCTGAAAATGGTCTCCCGCTCCTTTAAAGGAGTTGATTCGACAACTGCATGGGAGCCCATGTGTCCTCCCAATCACACAATCACATTCCGAAGGAGTCTTCTTTCCCTCTACAAACATCAACTCAAGCGCATATAGGCTTACACTTCCCCTTATAACGCCGTAGGGTGGTCCATAGGCTCCTTTGAATGTCTTTGTTCGACATGTCTCTAGCTCTTTCCTAATTTCGATCACTTGCCCCCCAATGCTAGCATGCCATGATAAAAATAATGTATCAACTCCCCCAGTCGAAGTGTTTAACCAAGCTTTAAGAGTCGAGTGAGCCGATTCAACCCTATTCGTACTTGTGTTACCAATATGAAAAATATTGTTAGTGTAAGCACAAGCCCACTTCTCTTTATGCTCCAAGCACTCACGATCCAAGTATTCTATCAACTTACTATTCCTCCCCCAAAATCCATTTTTGAAATTTTCCCATTCCTCAATCATGGCATGTGGCGTGGTGGCTTCCATCACCTTCTTCCAAGAACCATGTACCACTCCTCGAGCAACTTCTTGTGGTATCCCCAAATCCATCATCTTAGCTTCAATGTTCCGCTTTATGTGCCATATACACAACAAGTGGGCCGATTTCGTGAAGACCTGAGGGATAGCGGCAACCAATCCTCCCTCCTTGTCAGTTAGAATTGCATTCGGTATGCGATCTCCAAGCATGTTCTGTAACTCTCTCAAAAGCCAAACATAAGAATCTGTGGTTTCCCCCTCCATCATAGCAAATCCAATGTTGAAGTTCCTCTTGACGGGGGTAACACCAATAACCTCAACCAGGGGCCTCTTATATTTGTTCGTCTTGTATGTGGAATCAATCAAGATTACATGGTACCAAGCACTCAACATCCGAACGGACTCAGGGTGAGCAAGAAAAAGGTGAGTAAGGTGGCGATCATCATCACGCTTGTAGCCAATGCAGTACCCCATCTCTCTCGCATGGTGTAACGTCCAATCCGAAGGGGTCATGCCACTCAATCTCTCAATCCTTATATTTGCTGTCATGTTGTAAAATTGTCGTTTGTTATGGTGAGTACCATAGTTTTGGTTGATAGTTTGCATCATTTTTCGAGGAGCAACACGAGCCCATTCCATCTCCTTCATATCCTTTAGCTCTTCATTAGTAAAAGCATTCCTCTGAGTGTGGCCTTCGGGATAAAGCTCTAATGCATGGTTGTGAAACCCACAAAATTGTCCCGGATTGTGATTGTCCTTCACACCATCAATCATCCAAGTCTTTTCCTCCGGGAGTCCCACCAGTCTCACTCGAAAACGACAACCATCTTTAAGTGACTTTGTGTTGGATCGTCCTTTCTTATCCGGATCTGGGACATATGTATTGTTCTTATATCCACGATGGAAGTGAAGATATATTCGGGGGTACTTCTCGCCATCATTTGATTTGGTTGATGAATGTGTCAAAAAGAACCCAAGATCTTTTGCAATCACTTTCGCACCTTCCATAGCTTCATTCCATGACTTATATCTTGTATTTGTTATGAAAAATTGAGTATAATCAACTTTGTCTCCTTTATCTTCCGGATCTCCCTAAAATAAACACATTTATCTTATTAGTGATACTAATTTTGAAATGTTTGTTGTAGATTAAATTATTCCAATTTGATATAGATTGAGTCTTACATAAGTTTCAACACTTTTCATGACTTGTAATGTTTGTTGTAAATTGAATTCTTACAATTTGAAAATGGATTGAGTCTTATATAAGTTTTAGAAAATTTGATGACTTGTTTGCAATATTAGATTTTATATTTATCTTCTTATTAAAAAATATTAAACAAGTTATTAACAATTATTCAATATTCGAACATAAACTAATCCAATACATTTTCAACAAAAAATTAGCACATTTAGCATGATTAACTACCAAATCCTAATATTTCAATATGCAATAAAAAGTTTTTAACAAGTAGACACGTACTCATTAAATTATCAACAACACAACGTTGTTAACAATTATTCAATATTTGAACATTAACTAATCCAATACATTTTCAATAAAAAATTAGCACATTTAACATGATTAACTACCAAATCCTAATATTTCAACATGCAACAAGTAGACACGTACTAATTAAATTATCAACAAGATAGTAAAATCAATAATTCAACATTTTTCAAACAATATGTATCATTGTAAAGCAAATATTTAAGCATATTATCAATTACTAGATTCATCATAACAATAAATAATTCAACATGATTCCAAAATTAAAAAGTTTAACTCACTAACCGTGTTACTCATTATCTGATGTAGTGATATCCGGAAGTCCGAACTTGACCAACTTCAAGAAATACATAAAAAAAAATAGTTTCAGTAATACTAACATAGTTTCAAAATATAAAAAAATGAAATTCAAGAAATTCATTCTAAAAATAATATTATAGCAAATCCATCCTAAAAAATATGATAATTACAATATCATAAAATAATAAACTACAATAAAATCGCTAAATATTCTTCAAAGTCTAAATTATTGTTAGTAAACATTAACTTAGTTTCAAAATAATAAAAAATGAAGTTAAAGAACTTCATTCTACAAATAATATCATAAAAAATCCTACTAAAAATATGGTAATTACAATATTCATAAAATAATAAATTACAATAATAAAAACACTACATATTCTTAAAATATGGCAATTAAAAGTCTAAATTCAGGAAACATTAACTTAGTTTCGAAATATGAAAAATAAAAATTCAATAACTTCATTTTAAAAATAATATTAGAACAAATTTTTCTAAACAATATGATAATTAAAAAATCTAAAATAATAACCGAAAATCTAAATTAATATATTTTAAAAATCTAATATACTTCACAAATTTAAATTAACAAAAAATTAAAAATAAAATAATTCGCCGGCGACGTCCCGGCAGGACGTTCGTCCGTCGCCGGCGACGTCCCGGCAGGACGTTCGTCCGTCGCCGGCGACGTCCCGGCCGGACGTTCGTCCGTCGTTGTCGGGTTATTTGCCGACGTACCTCGTCGGAGAAAGGAGCTGTCGTCGTCGGAGGTGGCGATCGCCGGCGGGGGTGGCGATCGCCGACGGGAGGTGGCGCGGTCGCCGGCGGGAGGTGGCGGTCGCCGGCGGGAGGTGGCGGTCGCCGGCGGCGAGTGTTGTTGGATTGTGTTTGGAAAAGTGTTTGAATGTTTTGGTCTTGGAATGTGTGAAGTAAATGTATTTAAATGTTATGGGTA